ATCTATAAGGAGGTTCTGGAGACTTGATCCCGGGATCATATCTCCCAGATAAGAAGGAATCAAGTCTCCTACACGAGGCCATTTGAATATTTTAGTCCATAAAAATATAACAACAAACTAGAACTCACTACAAACTATGCAAAACGTAAACTAAATGATTATGGTGTTAAATAAAATTTTTACGAAACACTCACCTAAACAAATAGTAAAGATTATCAACTTCAAATAATTCTGAAAAACTAAATTACATGGGATCTACTGCTATACTAAGAGCTACGGTTTTATTGCCGGTTTTATAATTCTAGGCTGCTTATTTACTAAAATTTTAAAGAGTGATCAAGTCTCCCATTAGATCCAGTCTCCCTCTTCTCTCCTACAGAAAGAGAGTGATACATTTAATACACATAAAAATAATAAAGCGATGATTGCAAACATTTAAAGTTATTTAAAGATCAAAGAGCAAGTTTAAATGGAAATTATAATTATCTACACTAGAAAATATCTAACTAGCTATAAAACACAAAGCAACAGAAACAGGTGAAATTTTCTTCTGAATATATTCAACAAATAAGGCAGAAAAATTTGAATTTCTAATTTTTTTGATTGACTCATTTTGTCTAATTTGAAATGACGATTCAGTATATGAGTTGTTAACTACATATGGTTTTTAAAACCGATTTTAATCATACAATGTCTGCATTATTGTATTGCACCATTTAAATGCATTTCTATATCATACAGGAAGTACGCAACTAACATATGTTCAAAGTATGCTCTCCCATGTATGAATTTTCCACTAAAAAGAACTCTATATTTTATTGTTAAAACGGATATGCTGGCTTGCCACCTCACTGTTCATTATTCACACATTTGAAATAATCCCCAGCAAAAAAATGTTATTATCGCAACTGGAAACAGAAACAGGACATTAGTATATACGCTGTCAAGTTCAATGTGTTTAACAGTAATTTTTTGGATCTATTCTTTTAGAATTGTCACATCAAATATGTTTAGTGTATTGTTAGTAACAAAATATCGATACATCACGAATATTTACAGTAAATAAAAGTTACGAATAATTTTCGTGATCAAAATTTGTCTTTTTAATGGACCTTGTAAATTAAAGGAAGTAAAACTGTAATTTTGATAGTATTTGTTAGTACCATTCTTTTCACTGATTTTACACTTCTCTTTTAGTGATGATTGACTTGCTCATCATGTCAACATCAAAGTTGCTAGATCATGTCAACAACATAGAGGGACTTTTGTCTATCACAAAGCTTTCGAAATAGATCTTTCACACTAGTTGGTATGTAGATCTTCTAACGATGTGACCAAAGCATTCTGTTTATCGTTTTTTAATTGTGTTTGGCAATTTCCATCCTCTATTCATCAAATTTAGTACCTTCATATCAATTGTAGCACCTTCCCTTTGATAATTTGTCGTCCACGCTACCTTGAAATTTTACTAAACTGCTTCCTATCTACATCAATAGATATATATATATATATATATATATATATATATATATATATATATATATATATATATCAAATATAATATCTATAATATTTTCGGTGAAAGTAAATCGTGATATTTCTATTCCATAATATGGTTTTCCAAGACATAAAGATCTTAAGCTTTTCTGACTTTGACTTACCACTTATAACCTGGTGTAATCTACATTTCATTGAACACACTAAATAATGATTATCTCCTTTGGATATGACCCAAATATTGAACACTTAATAGAGGGATATCCTCGACAATCATACGAAGACTATCTCCAAGATTTTCTACTTATAGCTCAATAAATTGTATGGTTATGAGAATAAATTTTTTCATATTTACGTAAATATTTTGAAAAATTTTATAATTCTACTTGGCATAATGTCGGTGAGTTGGATAACCTTTCCGCAACTTCCGTTTTAATAATATACATATTTTTATTATATAAAGGTGCGTAGAGTCTAGGAACAAATTTAATAGTCGATTTGATACGGAGTAATAATGCTCTGTATGATAGATAGACCATGTTTTTACTTTGTTTAGGCTTTTGATTCTTCAAGGGAGGGTGATTCATTTTTATTTGTGGAGCTAGGGAGCTGTGATAAACGTCAGGGTAATATGCGTTTGGTGGTTTTAGTGGTGGAGTGTCAAAAGGTTGGGGTTCACAAGGTGGCGTATTGTGATGAGGAGCGCACAAGAGGAATTGTTGGTCAGTCAAACAAGCCAAGGGAAGGTATGTCAAGATGATACCAGCCATACTGGGAATATGGGGAGATATTTTATGGGGATTAATATTCTAATATATCAAAATACTCACCAGGAAGTTCGTTTCTAGTGTTATGAAGAAATTTTTCTGAAGGGAATGAAACGTTTCTTTTAAGAACTCTGGTGAGTATTTGTCCTAGGCGATGGCAATGAGTTTTAACTGTTTATTTGGCTCGGTTGTTTGAGCCATCTATAGTGCGAATGGCAAACCTTCTGCTGAGGGTTAGGATTCTGTTCTAATTGATGTTATGCAAGATACTTGGTGGATGAGTGCTGACGGGTAGTTTCTGCTCTTCTTCGTGCAGAATCTAAGTATCATTTTTTCTGTGGCCATGATGGTGGTCAGAATAAAAATTCAAAACGACTTGTCAACCCCATTTGAAATACATAGGGGATTAAGGCAGGGAGATGCGCTGGCGTGTCAGCTTTTTAATGTCGCCTTAGGAAAAGTTGTACGAGACGCTAATTTAGATAGCAAGAGAACAATATTTAATAGATCAGTCCAAATTATAGCATATGCAGACGACGTGGACATTATAATAAGAACCAGGGCGAGAACTGCGGAAATACTAACCGAGCTAGTAGCAGCAGCAGAACGAATGGGGTTACATATAAATCAAAATAAAATCAAATTCATGGCGACTAACACAAACAGGTGTTATCATGGTCTATCAAAGTACTTAACTATACAAACGTTTGTCTCAAAAAAATAAGGCTGTATAGAACACTGATAGTGCCCGTTCTCACATATGGATCAGAGGCATGGACGCTAATTAGGACATATGAATCCGCTCTATCGATTTTTGAAAGAAAGATATTCGGGGCGGTCTGTGAGAACGTAATATGGAGGCGTAGTATAACTTTGAACTGCAGAATATCTACAAGCATTCGTCTAGTGATAAAGAACTTTAATTAAGCGAAACCGCCTACAGTGGGCAGGCCATGTGGCCCGGGCCCCTGAACCAAACATGATAAAAAGATTTTAACAGCGCAACTCGTGGGAATGAGAAGACGGGGTAGACCAAAGCTGAGGTGGATGGACGGGGTAACACAAGATGCACAGAAGATCGGAGTCAGCAACTGAAAAATGCAAGCAAGGGATAGAACAGAATGGCGTAGAAAGCTTGAGAAGGTCGAGGCCCTCTAAGGGTTGTAGCACCAAGATGATGATGATGATGGTGGTCATTTGGCGGGCATTAAGCGACGCATAGACGCATGCCTTTTATTCGATTATTGGTCTTATATAGGTTTTGCAGGTATGCAATAGTGTTTTATTTGACGTTTTTCCCATTGTACCGGACAGCGCTGTCAGAAGTATTGTCCTTTTTCTTACCCTTTCTAGGGTATTTTGTATGTCGGTTTTCCAGTTGAGAGTCCTGCTAAAATAAACTCCCAAATAGGACACCGAGTTTCTAAAATTAAGGTCATCTTCTAGCAGGGTTATCCGGCCCCTGAGAGCATCATGGCAGTGGGGAGATTTTTAATTGAGTTTTGGAGGCGGTTATAGTCATTCTCCATTAATTACATTACTTTACAACTCTGTTAAGGTAATTTTGGATTCTTTCGAATGCAGACATTTGTCTACGTATTTTATTTGAGAATGGCGTAAGTAACGCAGTGTTGTCAGTATACAGCAGTAGAGATTCCGATCTATATTGAGGGTCGAGGATGTCACTGTTGTATACTGTGTTTAATATTGGAGCTAGAATTGAACTTTGATCCTAATAGTAGTCCGCTTAGAGAGATAGGAATTTATTAGTTTAACTTAAGTTGTAGACAGTCCAGAAAGATAAAGTTTTTTGATCAGGCCTGTATGCCAGACCTGGTCATATGCTTTCTGGACTTCTCGGAATATGCCTATGACGTGTCTTTTTTCGTTAACTGATTGTAAAATGAAAGTTGCTACTTCAATCAATACATTTTTTTGTGGAATGTTCAGCCCTTAATCCAAATTAATAATTTGGAATAGCAAAGTGAGCGTCTAGGAATTCTATAAGTCTGCTTAGTAATGAAATAGGTCTATATGATTCAGGGTAGGTTAGGGGTTTTTGCTGGTGTTTGAGGACTGTGCTGGCCACCTTCCTTAAGATTGAAAAGTAGCTCAGCGTGAGACACGCATTGATTATATTGGTGAGAAGCAAGATTATATTCTCTGGAAGATTTTTGAGGCATCTTTTGTGGATGCCATCTGAGCCAGGAGATGTGTTTTTACCTAAGCTACACATCTGTGCCTCAGGGTAGTAGAATATATCTTCCACTCTCCATTCGGTTTCCCTTTTGGATCAGGGAAATTTGGATTAGTCATAAATTTCTTCAGAAACCACAAAGAAAATTAAGACCATTTCTTGTAGTTCTCGAGTGAGAATTATCATTATAATCATCCTGCTCTTTGTTTCTCTAGCGCTGGACATGGGCTTACTCTAATTTTCATAATTATTCTCGATGCTGAGCCGGTATTTATCAGCCTTTAGCATTTATTTTAATACCATTTGTCCAGTTCGTTAGCGATAGTTCTCTACTGCGTTTATCAATACTTGGTCTCCATTTCAACAACTTGCACATTCAACATCCAACTCATATTGTCAAACCCAAGTCTCATACAACTCAGTATATAATTTTTCTACTGTATTTAAACTCAGGTGATAATGTTTACGATGAATTCAATTAACTATAAGAAGTTTTTGTTTGAAAACTTTAATTAATAATATTTTACTATTATTTACAGATATATTACAAAATGTTATTTAACACCAAAGACTGTTCCCTATTGGTACAACGAAAATCTACTTATTTTCCTAAATTCCACAAAGAGGATATATGAAGAGAGAATATATTGTAAGGTTAGTATACTATCTATTACGCGTAAATATAATTGGAACGTGACATACTGTAATTTATATATTTTTTTACATTCGTTTAAAGTTTTAAATTTATTTAAAGGGTAATGAAATTTTTTCAGTGACAGTCTGTGTTATATTTTACTAAGTAGGCGCATTTTAATACATTCTTTATATTTATGCTCTTATTTTAATTAAATAATTACATATTTGAAAGATTGTGTTTATATATTTCCATTTAATTATTTTGTTATCGATTTTCCCATAAAATTGTGTAGCTTGGGCTGTTACACCATATACATTCACTGCCTCTACCCATCTTGGAATTTTACATTTGGATATTTCCACCAGCCACTATATTTTCTCGTTACTTTTATATCATTGAATAAATTAAACACTTGAAAGTTTTACAATTATTTCTTAATAATTACTACGCATACTAAAAAAACAATGCTATTTTTATTTAAAAAAAACCCGCTTCAACCTAATAAAGTTTTCACAGACACACGTGCAAGCTTGCCCAGCATGCTTGTTAATTTTTTTTGGGCAAGCACACCTGAGTGTCTGTAGGGTAATGTGGTGCAAGCTTTGTGATTGTACAAGCGGCTTAAGGATTAAAGGGATCTTAATTATGCATAATGGCTATTTATGCCATATACATTGCCACATACATATAGCCATAGCCATTATGATTGCCAACCTCCGTAGGGAGGCGGCACTCTAAGAAGAAGAATTATGCATGCTTGAATTAAGCGCGCTTGCGCAAGCAAAATGGTATGTGTGTACCCAAGATTTTCAAGTTTGATTAATTTGGCGTCCGTTATATTGTTTTGAGGTAGCATTTGCGTAATTTTCGTTATGACTGGTGATCTCAAAAAGGTTAACGGTGAATTATTGGAAGAGTTTATTCAAGAATACCAAATTCAGCCATGTCTTTGGCACATTAAATCCAAAGATTATCATAATAAAGCAAAGAGGGATGCAGCGTACAAAATATTATTAGAAAAATGTAGGTTCTATCTATCTATCTATAGCCCAAAATCTATTAATGTGTTGAATATAGGGCTCTCCCATTTGTCTCTGTCTTCTGTTTGTCTTTCCCACATTGGATCTGCGCTTTGCTCAAAGCAAGTTAATCAAATGTAGGTTAATTGAGGTTAATGCCGACAAGGATACAGTTGTTAAAAAAATAAACTCCTTTTGGACTAATTATAGAAGAGAAAAGAAAAGAGTTGAAGATAAAAATCACACACCTGGAATGGGTGCAGATGAACGATATGAGCCCACACTTTGGTACTAAAAATGTTTCACTTTTTACGAGATCAAGAGATACTGTTCTGAAGCTATTTTGTTATGGCATTTTAAATTAATTACTATTTAACTGGGAATAAGCCACAATTAAAGATAAAAATACGTTTATTGACGTTTCAATGTCCACTTCGGAAATCGTTCTCAAAATACAATGATTATATAAAATTATACAAAATAATACAAAGTATTACTTTAAAATGCATAATGTATGTCTGAATTGTCAATATAAATGAGTCAGATAAAATTAAATTATTAGAAGAATTTTTCACTATGTATAGTTTATTTTTATGAACAAGAGAGTAATTAGCATAATTTTAACTGGTATCTCCGACCACTCCATGGGCGTGCTCAAGATTAATTGAAAAATTACTTTGAATAATTGTAAAAAATAAATGAATTATTTCAGTGTTATAAAGTGTTATGTGTATGTAAACAAAAGTGACCTCTTTTATCACACACTATATTAGAACTGACTGGCCTACATTAAAAAGGGTTTTAAAAAATTCACATTTTTTTTAATTTTTAAAAATTACAAAAGAGAAAAAGAATTTTTAAAACCGCCTAAGGTATGTTAAATAGATGAATAAAACTAATAATATACTTATATATTAACTTACAGCTACTTGTTACAAATCCAAATCAGATTCAGAAGATGAACTTTCAGAACCAAGATTTATAATAACTGGCTCGATCATTTTATCAGTAATATTGCCCAGCTTCCACATTTTTTCCTTTTCTTTAATAGTGTGATTTACTGCCTTTTCCCAGTTTTCAGGTTTTACATTATTTACGGCCTCCAAAAACAACTGTTTAACATCATGAATTTTAAAAGTAGTATTTTTTCTTGAAACTTCACTCTTTATCTGTGCCCATACCAGTTCAATCGGGTTTAATTCACAATGATATGGTGGAGATCTAAGTACTGTCATTCCACGATTTTTGGCAATTTCATCAATTTCGTATTTTTTAAATTTTTCTTTATGAAGGGCACACAACGAATAAAGTTCCTTTCTTATAGATCCGGGATGGTACGTAATATTTTTTGAACTCAGCCAATTCTGCAAGTCTTTTTTTAACCACTTGGTTGTGGGCAGTCCTTCTATAAGTCTGGAGTGATAACTTGCATTATCCATTACTATTACACATTTCTTAGGAAGAAGATCTATCATTTGTTCGAACCATTCTTGAAAGACATAAGTGTTCATGTCTTTATGGTAGTCACCGGTACGAGTTGATTCAAAAGTTAATAAACCACCTTCAACAAAACCGTCTGAACTGCCAATGTGTACTATTATCAGCCTGCGTCCCTTTCAGATGGTGGGTTAAAACCAGTTATTTACAAAAGTGTGCCTTTGACTTGTAACAGTTTCATCCTGCCAAAATTTATTTGGTGTATGACCCTCGTTGATCCATGTTTCATCAAGATAAAATATTTTTCTTTTTTGGTTTCTCATTTCCTTTATGGTTCTTAGAAAATGTCTTCTCCATATGACAATATCGCTTCTTTCTGATAAAATAGACTTTCTGGGATTCTTTTTCCAGCAGAAGCCTATTTCTTTTAAAAGTTTCCATAACGTACTTCGACTCATTTCTGGGTAATCCTTATCATCTCGAACTGAGACAAGAACTTTATCCAATGTTGGAAATTCTTGTCTAAAGAAGAATTCATGCACTTTCCGTCGAAGTCCTTCTTTAAAATGATATTCTATTTGAAATTTTGGTTTCCCTGCAGCATTACGTGGCATTTGAAAACTACCATATTTCTCTTCTTTAATAACTCTGTAAATCGTAGATTTCCCAACACCAGGTGTACTGCTAACTAACTCAACGGTCTCATTAACACTTTCACATAAACGTTTGTCTGTAAATGATTTAAAACAATTAAATATTAATGTTTTTTCATTAACTGTTAAAGGACCAATTTTTCGGCGTTTACACGGCACTTCCAAATTTTCCATAACACTAGTATACACAATAAACTGCACCTTGCAACTGAAGTACCTACTTTTAGTCAACTGTTAAGAATTTTGAATACAAAATTGGACCTTCCTACAAAATGGAAAAACCCACTATCACATTTTCTGTGGAATAAGTTTAGAAGGTAATTATCTAGTCTATTACTGTCGTAGATTCCTGGAATTAAAGAATTAAATGTTTGATTGTTGAAACCCTTACTTCGTAAAATGCACTCATTTCAGATAAAATAAAACGTTTTATTTTATATAAAGAATTAAACTTTATTTTGCAAATAGGTAGGTACTTATTAAACTTTTATTGGTTATATATAACCAATAAAATAAACATCTTACATTTCTTGCAAATTCATTAGTATCTGTTAACCTCCATCACTCCGACACTGGCAACCTTATTTAGGGATTAGTAAACCTCACAAGTATTGTATTCTATTCTGCTCCAACCTTTATACCTGGTGGTCATACTCAATTTAAAATTGTTTTCCTATATACTTCTGTAAACTTGTTGACAAATATCTGTTTTTCATTGAGTCACCCGTATCAACAGTTTAGGGATTTGCATACATAATTTATTGTTTTATTACTCTCTCATACATAAAAATACACTATAACAAAAAAACAAAATTTGTTTAATTTGCTGATTGTATTTTGAGAACGATTTCCGAAGTGGAAATTGAAACGGTAACGTATTTTTATCTTTAAAAAAAATCAAGAGATACCTAGTGAATTTTAATTGTGTTCCATATTTGTACATAAGTAGTTATTTACAGAAATTGAATTAGTAATTATACATTTCACCTTTATTAATTTGCATAAAAAGTGAACACATACTTAATATACCATATTTTAATAATGTATATACTGTTGTTGCTAAGGTACTGCTCCTTTATTGGAAAAATAATTCATGAATTTTTCTCTAGCTTCTTTTGTATTAAATGGCGTATTTCCTGTCATATGAGATCTTTTTAATGATGACATGTAACTTTCAGAGGTCAAGCCAACGCGAATCATACTACTTTGTATGTCCTCTAAGTGAAAAGAGCCTGGTGGAGCATAAGTTTGGTTTATTGTCGACAATAAATAATTGTGTAAAGCATAAGTTGCTTTTACTATTTTCTTAATTTGACCTAACTCTAAATTGATAGAAGTGTGAAAAATTCTAAAGCGTGCTGCTATATTTCCAAAGACTTTCTCCACAATTCTCTGTGCTCTCGATAATCGGTAGTTATAATTTTATTGTTATAATACAAGCTAAATCACTCAAGTATGGTTTCAGAATATCAGTCCTAAAAGGTAAAGCATCACCTGCGATAAAAATAAACGATAGCTTTAGTAACTCATTTGCAACTTCTTTTTCTTTGGGAATGTTTAATAAGTTCCACTGAAGTCTTCTAAAAAATTCTGTATTCTATCTAATACTCTGCCATGGCAAGTAAAAATAAACTATGTCTGTGTTGGTAATTAAAAAATAGATCCACTGTTGGCTGTAGGAATTATATCGATATGTTTTCCATCTAGGCTGTCAAGACAGTGAGGAAAATTCCATCTTTTATTCCATCTAAATGAAAATGCAGATATCAATCACAGTTTTATTAATTAAGTTTTGCCCTTCCTAGAGCATCTTCAGGGGCATTTTATCAAAATTTGGCTATCCAACAGCTTATGAATGCCATAAACATTAAAAATAATACATTAATACAACAGGACACAAAGAACAAACAATTCAAAAAATATTAAAACTCGAGGATGGGCAAGATTTAATAAAAACTATACGAAGAAGGTTGCGTTTCGATTTAATTTGAGTCTCATACCACTCCCTGACACGTGTTTCTGGGTATACCCGTCATCAGAAGGAGTTTGTAAGAAGACTCAAACCAAATCAAAACGCACCGATTACTCTGGCAATTACATGAAAATAACTACCAGAGTATGCAACTAGAGACCTCTAGTGAGGAAAGATGAAGATACGTCGATAGCAATTAAAGTAAACTGTATACCCAGGCTTAAACAAGCCATTCAGAGCGGTACTGAGAATAAACATATTCCACTATGCACCAACAATTTACCCATATAAGTTTACTAGTTGCATACTCTGGTAGTTATTTTCATGTAATTGCCAGAGTACTCGGTGCGTTTTGATTTGGTTTGAGTCTTCTTACAAACTCCTTCTGATGACGGGTAGACCCAGAAACACGTGTCAGGGAGTGGTATGAGCTCAAATTAAATCGAAACGCAACCTTCTTCGTATATTTATCGTCCCTACTCGACGCAATGAGTACAAAAATTAATGGTAATTTATATGGGTAAATTGTTGGTGCATAGTGGAATATGTTTATTCTCAGTACCGCTCTGAATGGCTTCATTAAGCTTGGGTATACAGTTTACTTTAATTGCTATCGACGTATCTTAATAAAAACTGTTCTCGATATCTACTTTTTATTTGATTAAAATAAAAATAAAAGCATTTAATAACAAACAACTTGATATACTAATGTATGGCCAATTTTTTTTCAAGCAAAATACAAATTTGAAAAGTTGAGTTGCTCTGGTAAACAATTTTCGAATTGGAGCTTACAGTGTTTTACTTGGGACAGCTGAACTGTATTCACTTCCTTAACAATTTTTGGAAAATTTCACAATACCTACAAAAGCGTTGCAATCACACATACTAATTGATAATTTATATTTCAGGAAAAGTTCTTCCCATTGAAATGGTCAGAAAGAATGTGGACAGAAGTAATGCATAAAGAACGGCCCACGCATTTTGTTTCATCCGTGGACATTCCCGTACCAGATATTTATATACCTTTAGGAGAAGTTGCTGCATGAGCTGTATAAATACCAAAGATTATTATGTATAATAAACTTCCTTACATTCCTTAGTATACCAGTTAGAAGTTACCAGTATATAAATAGCCATATGAAATGGGATGTAATAGTTTTTTGCCATTATTACAATTAATGTACATTACAGAAATATAAAATAAAACTTGCGACAATATTTTTAGTTTTCTTTTTCTGCCTTTGAATGTGTACTTAATTTCCTCACCATCCGTATTTGGTTCAATTTTAGTGCAGAGTAAACTTATTTATTTCTTTGATGACTAGAGATTACAATTTTTATTTAATTATTACGTTTGTTAAATCTCTCCTAATTTAAAAAAAAAATATTTTATAAAAATTGCATATTTCATATATTTTTCGGCATGCTTGCTCATATTTTCTTGCTGATTGGCGATTAATTTATTTAATTTGATTATTTTAGAAACCGAGTAGCTTCGTAGGGGCTGGTAATGTTCAGATTTGTAGTCACTAATGATATTTTTCAAATATCCTCTAATTGACATTCAAGTAAATTTTTGTCTGAAACAATTGATGCAAGCAATCAACGAAATAATGCCAACATTTCTTGTTTATTTAACGAATTCGCGATTTTTATGCATGGTTAATATTTTAGGGTCAAAACGCAACTTCCATTCCACCTTTAAAACAAAGAATTTCCATTATATTAATCTGCCAATATTACTGAATTGTATAAAATCTTTTTTTTTTGTTCAACCCCTACTCAAGTTATTAATATATTGCATATCCGTCCTCAACTTATTGTGTTATGTAAATTTGTGACCGTTCTGCTCGACTTTTATCTTTATTTTAAAATTGGGGTATTTCCAATATGAATAGTACAGGGTAGAGAAAAAAGGTTTGGCTGATCGTTTCTTAATTTTAACATTTTTGGAAAATATCAATGTTTCCTTACATAAAGTGGTTTTAGGCAACGAAAAACATACGGGTTTGAATAGTCATTTTTCTTTATTTATTGCAATTTTTAATCCACTCAATGAATACATAATGTAATTGGTAAAGAGGATTTAAGAGGAATAGCTTGTCTTTATTAACAATTTAATGCAACTCTACTAGTTTTCTGGGTTAGTATTTTAAGTCATTTTGTTGCTGGTGGGTTTTATATGTATTTAAAGATTTTTCACAGACCGCTACAAAACAATGAATAAATAGTAAACTTTTATACTTAGCTTGAAAATACATTACAACTCAACCTAGAGACAAAACGGTAATCATGGTGAGATTATAACGCCAAAATGGGAGAAGGTAAATGTGGATCCATAGTAGGACCATACGTTGCTTTTTACAACGATAGAGGTAATTGACTTAAAGAATTCTACTGAAAATATTATCTAGTAGTAATACGCAAAGCACCTAGACCTGATAACATACAAGCTGAAATATAAAAACTATTTAAAAACAACCAACTCAAACTCCTAACGAGTCTACTGAAGAAAATCTATGAAACTGCAGAATTTCGTACAGATTGGCCGGATAGTTTCCACCTTTATCCCTCTCTCTAAAAAGACAAATGTTATCAGATGCTTTAATTACAGAATTATAAGCTTAATGAGTCATGCATTCAAAATCCTTCTCTCAGTTATTCACTCTTGCATATATAGAAAACTTGAAGAAAGCATTAGCAGTGTTCAGTTTGGGTATAGAAGCTGACTGGGAATGCAAGAGGCCATATTTTCCATACAAGTATTGATACAAAGAGCTTGAGACGTAAATTGCGAAGTCTACGTATGATTTATTGACTTTGAAGAAGCATTTGACAACGCGTAATATCAAAAATTATTTCAGATACTGAAAGAATCTAGTATTGACAAAGATTTATGACTAATAAAAAATTTATACTTACAGCAAAGGGCAACTGTACCAGTAGACAACGAAACCTCACAAAAATTCACGATAAAACGGGAAGTACATCAGGGATGCATTTTGTCACTGAAATTTTTCAATACTTACTCGTAAATGTTGTTCAGGGAAGCTATTGATGGTTTAAGAAAAGGTATATCAGTCAATGATGAAATCAAACAATTTAAGATATGCGGACGATACGGTTTTGACTGCTGATAATGCGGAGGATCTGCAAACATTAATAGACCAAGTAGTGGAAGTCTGTGACAGATACGGCATGAAATTTAACTGTAAGAAGACCAAAATTATTGTAGTAAGTAAAAACGACGTAATACAGCACCCATTCACAGCTAATAATAAACCTGTTGTGATATCTGACATGTCTTCTGAGCCTACATTTTGAACCCTTGGTATTTGATTGTAATCAGGATCTGGAAGTTCTTCTCGCTTATACAATTCAGAGTAAAAATCTTGAGCAATTTTTAAAATATCTTCCTTATTTTTTGTAGTTTTCCCTTTTTATTTATAAGTTTACAAATATTTTTCGATCCGTCAGTCATTTGTCGGCACAGAACCTTTTAACTTTAATTTTTATTAATGGCTTGAGTTATGTATTCAGTGTTGTAATTTTTGACACCTTTTCGAATGAATTTTGTGATATCTTTGTTTAACTGTTTAACTGTCTAAAGTGTGTGTAAAATTATATGTGTATTTGTGTTTAAATTCTCTTCTTTTGTTTGTAAAATCTTTAGTAGCTTGAGTGAGTTTATCCATCTTGTTTTTTTCTTTTTTTCCTTATATTTTCTCCTTGTCTTATATTATTTTATATATGGATCGAAAATTCTTTAAAATAAAACACTTAAACAATGCAAGAGTTAGTTCTCCTTAGGAATGGATGATAAATCTTTATATGCTTGTTTCTTAAAATACACTTTTAGCAGATATGCCCTTCTTCTAGCTACCACCTCAATTCCTTATTGTTAGATTTTGATTTGATTTAGAAAGGACGCAACTAATGCACAAAAATAAAAAACTAAATATATTCAATAACTAATTTTTTTGGGAATAAGGCACAATTTAAGTTTAAAATAAGTTTATGTTTGACGTTTTGATTTACACTTCGGAAATCATCAAAATACAAATCAATAATAAATTACACAAATTTTGTTTTCTGTTACTTGTTAAAAATTTTTTCCAATAATTTAATTTTAACTGACTCATTCATATTGAAAATTCAGGCATATATTATACATTTTTAAGTAGATGACTTTAAAACGATATTGCCAATATTGCTAAGTTGCGTTTTTGGAAGGACTTTATTATAAGATAGTTTATTGAATTACATGAAATCAACTTAACTTAAGAATACCTGTCTTACATTTCATTTACTCTCAATAAACATCAAGTAATGATTTTAGATTTTAAAATTTGAATGGAGTTTTTGATTTAAAATATTAGATGTACTGATTCGTCGTTTGATTCTTGTTCTTTTAATTTTAATCCCCTAAAACTTCAAGTTTTAAGGGGAAACTCGGAAGGAAAAAGAACGAACAAGAAGTGGCAATCGGAGATTTTGGAATCGGAGTAAGAAACGAAAGGGGCGAAATGCTTACCAACTTTCTACTGCAACACAAACTGTATGCAATGAACACCTTTTTTTAGAAGGAACAGAATAGAAAATATACGTGGGCTAGTCCAGACGGAAGAACTAAGAGCGAATATGATTATATAATAACAGACAAAAAGCAAATTATTCAATATGTCACTGTACTCAATAAACTATCAGTAGGAAGCGACCACAGACCAGTAAGAGCTAGAGTAACGATAAATCTACAAAAAGAAAGAGCAAAGATGATAAACAGTTACAAACGCATAGTTTGGAATTCACAAAATCATCCAGAAACATACATAAAAAATATAGCTGAAACTTTACAGAGTAATAATTCCAAACCTCTAAGTATCGATAATCACAATAAATTAATAACAGACTTGGTTAGAAACGCACAACTCAAATTTTGCAAGAAAAATGACACCAAAAGTGAAAAGATTAGCAAAAATCTAAAAGCTTTCATGGAAATACGACAAAACCTAAGCGAGAACGAAAAGGGAAACAAAGAAGAATATAAAAAACCAAATAAAATAATTTCAGCGGAAATTAGAAAAGATGTAAGAAGATATAATACTAATGTAATTACTCAAACAGTAGAAGACAACAAAGGTTTAATGATAATGAAAAAAAAAACTAACACAAAGTAAAAAAGAAATATATAAGCTGAGAGATAAAGACGGAAAGGCAACAACAGATAAACAAAACATTCTGAAAATAACCAGAGAGTTTTATAAAGACCTCTATACCAGCCAAAGACCACAAGACAATATCCTGACACGAGTAAAGAATCTCATAAATCAGGGATCGGAAATACTTTTACCTATTACTGTGTCAGAAGTAAGAGCAGGAAAAAGGAAATGAAGAACTCGATCGCCTGATGATAATGGACTCGTTATCGAGGCAATAAAAGCGGGAGGAGAAATTAAAATCAGTAAGCGAACTATTTAATAAATACTTACATGCGCGTACGATTCCAAAAGACTGGAACAATGCAGTAATAGTCTTGTTACTCAAAAAAGGCGATATTACTAAATTAGAAAATTATAGACCCACCAGCCTCTTGACATATATGTACAAACTCTTTATGAAAATCTTAATAAAGAACCTAATACCTAAACTTGATTTCTATCAGCCCAAAGAACAGGCAAGCTTCAGGGCAGGTAATGGCACAAATGACCGTTTGCATATCATAAAGATCTTAATAGAAAAGTGCATCGAGTACAACATACCACTGGTTCTTGGATTTGTCGTTTACGAGAAGGTTTTTGATTCTATAAAGTTTGAAATAATACTGGAAGCCCTAAATCAAAGCCGAATAGATTACAGGTACACGACACTAATCAAAAACATCTACGATAACGCTACATCAAGTATACGATTACACGAAGACACAGAAAAATTTAGCTTAGGTCGAGGATTTAGACAAGGAGACAATATTTCACCAAAATTGTTCACGGCAGCTCTAGAATCAATATTTAAGAGCACTCAGTGGCAAGATATGGGCATCAATATAGATGGAGAAAGATTAAATCACCTAAGATGTGCAGATGATGTTGTATTAATCGCAGATAACTTACATGATACAGTTTCTATGATGCATTTGCTTAAAAGTCTGTCTGAAAGAGCAGGATTAAAGATAAACTTTGAGAAAACTAAATTTATAACAAATCTCGTAATGAGTGGAAATA